GAGTATCGCAAAAGCAATGGTCTATAATGATCTGTTCTGACAATTCGATATTCGGTTGGACGTGGACAAAGGTTGCGAATTGGGCACTGTCCTGTCTACATGTGTTTTTCATACGTATTTGTGATAGGACTTGGGCTTTTGAGGTCGGTATTTAACCTATGAGCGAGGGCCTGGAGTGAAGTAAGCATAACGCCCCGGTGACATAAATGCGCGATGATCTACAGAACGCCGTATCCCTGATGTGTTATGTCCCCAAAATACTTTGGTTTTTTTCATAAACCCTGAGACGACTTATTTTTTAATAGGCGGACCTGACCGTATCCTACCCTGACTGTAAAGTGAGCTTTGGCCTCATTGTTTGTCTGGATTAATATATGATCTTCAAATTATGTGTGGACATGAAACCAACATCTACAACCCATTATTCTATTCCCGAAATTCAATTCAATTATTGAAAATCAGGTGAATACGTCGAGCTGATAGAAGCGATTTCGAGGAACCAGCATCGGGACTCCATTTAATCGCCACATGGATGGAAAGGGGGTAAAATCGGGTTAACGGGACGACGAAGGAGGTGGGCCAGTGGGGCTCGCTGACGCTGCCAGCGGAAGGGTCAGACTTCGGTCATCTATCGGTTAAACAATCCCTAAGATCCTCTTCGACCATTTGTTATTATGCATCCTTGTAATTGATGAGTCAGGCACGCCAGAAGACTGTAGAGTCATAGTAAAGTTTACTGGATTCAAAAACGTTTTAATCCGAACAAAACGATCTAAAGTATTTTCGCACGCTGACGAGCTCAATGCGGATCAACACGTCTCTCCGGATCCGCCTGTGGGTTCGCCATGGGCTCTGAGACCTGTTGGGGCCCCACCATATTCACTAGGTTTAATCAGAACCGAAAAAAAACAGAAAAAAGAATCAAAACTCATATCATTCAGTAAAGCAAACGTGGTCAGATCGCTTTCTACAAATGCACTCCATCAGCGACTACTAACCACCTTCGCCTTGACCAATGAAAACTCGCGACACCCCTGTTCGTGTGCCAACTATGGCAAGATCGAATCCGCTGCAACAGGCCAATCAGAGCCTGTAGGCCGTCAGTGCGTGCGTAACGTGTGATGCCACAGTAAAAGACAACACTGTGGTACTCACGGCATTCCGTCTCTCTGCTGCTTTGCTTATTACTCCAAATGGCGCTCCAGGAAGCAGAACTATTCGAAGACGAACATCCTCTGATTCGAAGCTGCTCTGCATTGAACGAAATTCGTCTTGCCCAAGACATTAAAGACTTGACTATAGAGGTAGCGTACCTTAGTTACGGCGGACATTTGTGCGTGTTAGGTCAGGGACGGCGATGTCCTTCACGTCCATCGAATAGTGCTGGCAGCTCGCATCCCTTCCCTGCGAGCGTCCCTCAGTGGTCCCCTCGGGGAGGAGAATACGGTCTTAAGGTGGCCGACAGCGTCGCTCAGGTTGGTTCTTTAGGTTTGGCTTACAACATTTTTAGACTCGCAAATGCGCTCGTCCAGTATGTGTACACTGGCCGGGTGGAGATGACACAGGATAACGTGATGGGCCTGATTGTACTTGCAAGCATGCTGAAACTCCCCGCCCTGGTGAATTGGGGAGTGACATTCTTGACCAAGAGGTACGCAATTTCCCAACTATTCCTCTCTAACTGCCTGCTCTAAAGAGTCAATTTAGAAAATTTGTCAGCCACTTGGGACTTTGCCAAGTCTGTGAATATCAAATTACTGGCGGATACGTGCATTGGGCTGATGGAGGAGCACTTTAAAGAATTCGTACCAACTGAACTCTTTGTTCGTTTGCCGGCCGAAACCGTCCTCAGCCTGCTTCGAAGCGATCAGCTCTCCGTGGGATCTGAGGAGGAGGTTGTTGCGGCGATTGCTCGCTGGACGGGTGCTGGTGTCGGTGGTCAGGCCGACGATGAGAGGCTGAGTGTACACGCGCCGGTGATGTTGAAAGAGGTCCAGTGGCAGCTGACGACCGTGGAATGTCGCGATCGCCTGATGGAGAATTATCCAATATTTCGGGAAAATCCCGAATGTTTGTAAGTAGATGCTACTTCGGTCCTGTTATTTTTTCTTAAAAACAGTCGGCTTTTGCTTCAGGCTGAGCGGTGGATTGGAGCTGCAGACAAGGACAAGCTGACCCGCCCTTTCAACATAAGGCCTCCTCTACGCCGGACGGTCTTTCTCCTCTTTGGAGAGGACAAGAATGGTCAGGATAGGTGGTCAGTCCTTCGCGCCGATCAGCACCTGCAGCGGGTAGAACGCGTTGCTGACATGAAGCCGGACCGATGGTTCGCCTCCTACAGCGTCGTGGGCGGTGAGTTGCCGGAGGGTTCTGCGTCACCTATTCGGCGCATTTTGTCTGTTTTTGATTTTTTGTATGTTGAAGTCTAGCGCCTCTTTGTGGGCAGCATCACGGCGTCAGCATCTTTTTAAAGAGGGTTGGTCCGTCAGTTATTCTGCTTAGGGTCTCCTCACCCTCAGCTAGGCTCTTTATACATTACCTTTTTTCCCTCATCCCCCCTCCGAAAGAGAGCATTTTCGTTGTTGGAGGACAAGGGGATTGCCGAGGGCTGGTTGATGTTGACGAGTTTCTGGTGAGAGAAGGACGCTGGCGCGAACGGGCGCCCCTCGCCGTTCGACGTCAGCAGCACGCCGCCGCCGTCGTGAAGGTTCACGCCGTCGACGGAGAGGAGACGATGATTGGTGTTTTCGGTGGCTGCTTCAAGGAAGGGGACAGTTGGACACACCTCTCCTCCTGTGAAGTCTACGAAGTCGGTCAGAATAGGTGAGAAGAGGCTGGTCGTGTCAAATCTTTTGTTTTGCCAAAGTAGATTCCACCTCTTCGCTCACTCGCCGCCCCGCTCACCCTGAACAGGTGGCATAAATTGCCCGATCTGCCGGAGAAGAGGGTCGGTCCAGCTGCTGCCTGCCTGCCCGGCGACAGTCGGGTTTTCGTTTTTGGCGGCTGGCGTGGCCTCTCCTCTCAACTTGCTTCCGTGGTCTTCTGCAATCTGCGCACAGACTGGCGGGAGGAGGCGACATCAGCGCTCACCGCGGACTTCTGGCAGCCAGCTGCCGCCATGAGAACTGCACGATCCGGGCTCGCAGCGACGCCCTTTCGGGGAGCAATCCTGGTCGCCGGTGGATACGATGGTCAAAGTGATTTCAGCGTCGACGTTGTGGAGATATTCTCGCCGCCAGACGCCGGTAGCCCCCTCGGTCAATGGACAAAGCTGGCCGGCATGAAGGCTCCTCGCCGAGGTTTCACTCTTCTCCCCTCCGCCAACGCCATTTTTGCTCTCGGTAAGGCAACACACAAACAGATTCTGGCTTTCCTTCTCTTCTTCATTCCCCTAGCCTACTTTGCAAGACATGACGTTGGAGGTTCTTTATGCGCTAGCAGTAATCGCTTCGACGTGCATACTGCCTATCCTTCCTTTTCAATCTCTTTTCTCCTGTGTTTTCTTTTTCCTTCAGTGAAACTTCATTATAATTATGCAAAATTTGTAGGCAACTCCCACGAACCGAGTAACACGGTAGAGACTCTCACGGCACCAGGAGGTTCGGCTGACTTTGACAATGACTTGACATCTTGGGTTTGGTCGTCCAAGAGCCCTGTGGAGACACTTGAAGACATTGCCGGCGCAGCAAGCCTTTGCATCTAAACGCCCGTGTTGATTTTCTTTGGATGTTAACTTGGACTGCACTCCATTGTATGCAAATTAAAAGTCAGTAACACTCAAATAAATCTGTCCTGCCTTTTGTTATTTCAAAACTTTGGAAAGATGCTTGCGGCACACAACATACGGGGTGGCCGATTAACAGCGAATTTCGACCTGAGGGGATGAAATTGATGTGTGCTACACTACTAACCATGTGAATGAGTTAATTTCTTCGAGACAGGTGTTAATTCGCTGTCGCGCAATACATAGCTGTAGCGAAATCGCAAATCCCGTGGTTTGTGCGTTGTTATGGCGGACACATGCACAGCTTAGGGATCAGTGCTCTTTTCTGAACTGGAAATGTGCTGGACAGTAAGGACGCTTAGGCGCCGTGACTTCCAGGATGTGGTTAGGTGAAGTGAATTTTGATCGCTGGAACAAGAGAACTGTTTCTCCGACGTTTATGATTCTGGATTAACACGCAATCATAGACAGCGACGAATGGGTACGTTGTGGGGTGGTGTTGTTGTTGTTGTTGTTGATGATGATGATGATGATGATGATGATGATGATGATGATGATGATGATGATGATGATGATGATGATGATGATGATGATGATGATGATGATGATGATGATGATGATGATGATGATGATGATGATGATGATGATGATGATGATGACAACGTCCATGGCGCTAGTATCAGTAGTAGTAGCAGCAGTTGTGGCGTAAGTAGTAGCAGCAGCAGTAATAGTGGTGGTGGTAGTAGTAGTAGTAGTAGTAGTAGTAGTAGTAGTAGTAGTAGTAGTAGTAGTAGTAGTAGTAGTAGCGGCATCAGTGGTGGCGACTGTGCTGATGATTATGATGGTGTTGATGAATGAGTGCCCGATCGTCGTGTTTAGCCGTTTGTTGGGAGATGTATCGATGTGGCAGGAGTAACGCAGTAATATTCTTTCCTACCGCATCGACTGTCTCAGTGAGGTAAAGATTTTAACTAGGAGAGATCAGGAGTAGAGGCTTATATTAGCCGTGAGTCTATAAATTCTATTCTTAAAATAATTTCATTAACTTTAAATGCGTTCGCCTATCTGCTGAATGCATTGTTCGACCGTAAAATAAAAAGGCTAACTTACACACATCTTCTCTTGTAGAGTGGACTTCCATTTCACAATTGTTTTTTATTCAGAAATATTTGCTCTGTTAAACTTATCAGAACATTACATTGCACAAAATGCTTTGGTTACAGCGGTCTAACACTACAGATCTAGACCTAATCTATAAAAGTGGACCGGACTTGGTGAGATCGAAGTTTGTAGCCCGGAATGGGGTAGATAACCTAACACTAAAACCCTAACGCTAACCGCAAAACCCTAACCAATACATTAACACCAAAAACCTAACCCTAACCCCAAAATCTTGCCCTAAACTTAACCCTAAAACCTAACGTTAGCATTAATCCAGAAATCCTGACCCTAATCCTATACCATAACCTCAACCCTAAAACCTAAACGCAACTCTAACCCTAAAATCCTAACCCTAACTTCAAACACTAACCTTAACCCTAAGGCCTAACCCTAACCCTAGCCTAAACACTTAAACCTTGCCCTAAGACCCTAACGCAAAAACGCAAACCCTAACCCTCACCAAGCCCAACAACCTGACCGAAATGGGGCGACCTGCCTAAGTTAGTAGAAACACACCTACTGATAAAGAGTTTCCCCGACAAGGGAAACACACTTACTGATTACGAGTAAGTACGTCGACAGTGTCAACTCATAATGTATGGCTACGAACTGTGATCTTGCCCCGGACTTGTCAACTCGCGCAGTCTACATCTTTACCAAGTATGCTATAATGCTTCAGCGAGATTATTCTAAGATTCCATCACCACAATTGACATACTTTTGAGTTTTCCCTCATAATTATTGAAGAACTGACATCAAAACCTCGTCCTCATTCCCACTAGTCAGCAGTGGTGGTTGGATCCATCCTCGTCGGTCGTATTCGTGGTCTGCTGACTGCCGTCGCCGCCGTCGCCGCCGCCGCCGCCGCCGCCGCCAAGGCCACCACCAAGACCACCACCATCAGCGGATCCAGAATTTATCCTCAGCGTCTACGCCATCGACGATTCTATAAACTTAGATTAACACTTAGGTTAACAGAAGCTTCGTGTGCTTGGCCTGCAGGCCGTCTGAACCAAATCTGTATTTTTATAGATGTTTTGGCAGAATTTGAATAATTCATAATTCATGCGTGTCTGACGGCCAGACAAATTTGGGCAGCTCACTCGGTGTTTGTAGGCCCTGGACCATGGGACGCCTGCACACCTGGCGAGATAAAATCGATCACGTTGAACACGTGGCGTGATATCGATCGCAGCGCGTGCACGTAGCTTTTCCCAGATGGCCTAGTGTTTTGATAACCTTGAATGTTGTCAAACTGAGCCGAATTGCAGCGGTGTGCGAGATCGATGCCATCATCATCATCATCATCATCATCATCATCATCATCATCATCATCATCATCATCGAATTCAGAATTTATCCTCAGTATACACGCCATCTAAAATCCTATACATTTGGCTTAAGAGAAGCTTCCTGTGCTTGGTCCGCAGGCGGTCACGTCAAAATTCTTAGTTGTTGTTCTTGCGCAGTGCACCCATTTTCAACACGTAACACTTTGTGGATATTTCCCTGGTGGACTCTTGATGTGGTGTTAATTAGTTTAAGCACTGAAAAGCCGAGAGACTACTTCATTTCGGACAGCAGGTAAAGAATGGGGGAATGTTTCTAGAGGAGCAACTTCGGGCACTTTGCGACCAGCTGGTTCAGGAAAGATGAGTAGTGGGAGACAGGTCGCTTTCCACCGCCTATCTACCCTGTGAACAGTCTGGCGTACCCGACTCTTCAACGTCGCACTATAAGCAGTGTCTGGGAAGGTTGCCTAATGACATTTTAACGCAAAATGGGTTGTTAATGCAGCGTGTGTTTGTTTATTGTGTGGCCAATTGGTAGACTGAAAGTAAAACTGTAGGGGTTTCTACTTAGTGTGGCTTATATGGCCATCCCACGCACGTGAGTTCTGGTCTGACCACTGCTGGTCGGCCTTGTCGGTCACTTACGAATCCATCGCACAGAGACTGGCAAACCAGTGCCTGGAACACCAAACTATACCCACCACGCTCGACTCAACTGCCCACACCGCCCTCGCACTTTCACGCGTCGCATGGGCCTATTCGGCCACATGCGCATCCACGAGAGCGGAATTGACCGCAGTCCCGACACACCCACCACATCCAACACATCCACCATGCCCAGTCCCACACTCGCTACATAGTCCTGAGCGTCCATCATCACCACCACGACCACAACATCCTCTGTAGCCGATACCGACACCGCCGGCTTCTCATGCCCACACTGTCCCCGCATATTCTCCTCTCGCATCGGACTGGTCGGTCACTTGCGAATCCATCGCACAGAGACTGGCGAACCATTGCCTGGAGCACCCATCTACACCAACCGCACTCGCCTCCACTGCACACATTGCCCTCGCACTTTCACCCATCGCATGGTTCACTTCGGTCACATGCGCGTCCATGAACACCTGCGGTAGACAACAGCCGGCTGTATCGCACCATCACACCCTCCCTCCCTCCCTCACCACCACCAACACCACCCTACCACACCTCAACACTCACCCATCGCATATGAGATTCGGGTAAATTTCTTTACCAAAATAGCCGAAGCAGTGCCCTTACCGCACGTTTCTGCGACAGCGGTGGCCCGAGTCATATTCAGTGGTTGAGTTTGCCACTGGGGGGGGCGCCGGATCAGCTGCACTCTGATCGAGGCTCATCGTTCGAGAATGCCGTCGTACCTGACCTGTGTAGGTTCCTAAAAATTAAAAAGACTCATACAACCGCATACCATCCGCAGGGTAATAGACAAGTAGAGAGGACTAATCGCACACTGATCAATCTGCTAAGAGTCTTTGTCGACAGGAATGCAACGCCTACAAGGGACGAAGCATTTCCGACGTGCATGTTAGCTTATCGGTCCACGGTAAATGCGACTACGCAGTATACCCCATTTTTCCTAACGTGCGGCCGGGAAATGCAACTTCCCGAGGACCTTCAAATCCCGTTCGTGCATCAGGCTGAAAATGTGGACGCGTATGTATCAAGACTGTGAAAAGCTTTGCGTTTAGCATCAGAAGAGTCCCGTTTGCCTTGTTTAATTTCCGAGGACATTAACGCGCGAACTTGGAGCAATTCTTTTGAAACAGGTCTTTCCAGACACGGTCCAAAGTTCGACATGAATAACTGAGCTGGAATCCACCAGCTACTGCGGAGTAACCGCTTAATATTCACAAACCGCCAACAGACAGGTATAGGACTGTGCAATGATTTCCCATGCTAACAACACGGGTACTAGCTAAAAGCCCAGACACGCGTGTTTCGCCGATCTTATGCCGCTGCCTGACGCAGCTGCCAGGGGGTTCGGCTCGTCAGTGGGTCCCCCAGCTTTCCCCCCGTGTTTTCTGGCCCGTTTGCATCTGCCGGAAGGGCAGTGTCACCAAAAGGCATTTTACGATCGGTTGGCGCACGGCATCCCGTATAGTGTGGGAGACGTTGTATGGATGCGTAATTTTACATTACCCGCGGGGATAACGCAAATGTTGCGTTTTGTGCCGACAGGTTGTGTGTGTGTGTGTGTGTGTGTGTGTGTGTGTGTGTGTGTGGGGTGTAGGGGTGTCCAGCGGTGGGTCCACGTGATGGTCGTAGTGGTCGCTCACTTGCTTGCAGGTGAGACTACGCCTAGCGTCCATTTGCTGGCACCTAACTCTCACATGTGGCTCCACGTAGCTGGGCTCTGCTCAGCGGCCACACCCCGGGCAACCGTCTCGACCGGCGGGCTAAACCAGGTGAGGGGGCCCTGTGCGCTGTGCCGTGTGCACAGGGCTTGCGGACTCCGCCGGATGAAAGGTCGGATGGAAACTTGCG